CCCACGGTACTTGCTGAGTCTGTCTATCTACTCTTTCTGCATTGAATCTCTTCTGTCCTAAGTGCTAGGAATCTGTGGATGAAGGATAGGGCCTTACTGCCAAACTTGCATGGGCTTAGTAGGACCAAAGCTCTACTCTGGCACTTGGAGACCTGGGCATGAGCGGCGAGCGCTCGTTAAACAACTCGTCTAGCCCAATGACCAATACTGTCCGGCAGGTCTACTGAGTTCAGTGTGGAGGGTCTGAACTCKGAGCTGTAGGCTGAAACGAAGGCCGTCTTTAAGTGTTGAGGCCTGGTTGAGCCACTCCCCTACCGGACCCAGAAGGCTGATGATCCGTGTCGGACGACTCGACTGTCCCGAGGGATACGAACCCCTCCAAGGACCCGTACTGACCGGCGGGCTGCTCGGTGTGGCACAGGAAGCTGGACGGGCTGAGTTGTGGGCTGAAATCGCCAGAGGAACCAAGCTGATCGCGTCGTCCTGTCTKCGACGTTAAATAATTATTGCGGAGTTTGGGGGATCTCCTWAAATGCCTCCTGATCAGCTCTTGGTTCTRTAGTGACATCCTTAGAGTAGTCTTGGGTTAGTAGTGGCCATAGTTGACAGGGTCTTATCCTGTGGTCCTTAGGAAGTCAGTCAGTAGGTTAGTGTGTCCGGGTAGGGCTACGTGGTGAGGAGTGGGACCCTTGTCGTGCACCAACATCACGATGGACGACTACCCGATGTATGGGTTGCTGGTTGGGTTCTCCCTCTAGGGGACCCTCTAGCGTCTCCTCTTTCCTCTGGGATCTTGGCATACCTTTGCGTGTAGAGTAGGGCCCACTCGAGGTGGTACCGCCACCCAACCATACATGAAGGAGGAGAAGGAGAAGATGGCCGCCATGCTGCAGGAGAGGAAGGAGAAGGAGGCCAAGAAGAAGGCCTTGAAAGAGGAACAGGCGGCCAAACTAAAGAAGATGGAAGAAGAGATGGCCAGGGAGAAAGAGAGGTTGAAAAAGGATGAAGAACAGAAGCAGAAGGAGGTGGATGAAGAAGAGGAAGGACCGCCACTGCAAAAGAGTGGGCAGCACAGCGGCAGCAGCAGTGATGAGATGGAGAAGAAGATTTCGGAGTGGGTCGCCAACTTATCCCTGGGTGAGGAGGAAGAGGTTGCTATGCCCCCAAGGATGAGCAAGAAGCCGCCATGAAGAAATGGGAAGCAGAATAAGATGTTCTGACGCGGCGGGCGATGGAGGATGAATAGAGGATGGCGTGGAAGCTCGCAGTGATGAGGGAGAAGAAGAGAAGAGTGGAGGCGGCGAATGCAGCAATGCAAAAATTAGCGGAGGTAAGGACTGCCTTAACAACACAATTGACTCCGCAAGTAGATCTCCAACGCAAAGTGGAGATCATCGCCCAGAGCGTTGACCGGTTAGCTAAAGTGCAAGAAAAACACTATGAGTTTAGTCGCAGCCAGGACATATCCGTGCGTTCGATGCGAACGGGATTATGGGATTTTGCTCACGAACTAGTAGGCGCTGTGGGATCCGAGGTGAGTCATCGCCTCGAGAAGACTGAGCGTTTTTGTGTCGGC